GTGTCTGACCGTGATTTGGGGTTTTTGGGTGTGTCTGACTGTGGTTTTGGGTTTTTGGGGGTGTCTGACTGTGGTTTTGGGGTTGTCTGACTGTGATTTTGGGTTTTTGGTTGGTTTTGTCACGATTTGGGATTTTTGGGTGTGCCTGACTGTGATTTGGGGGTTTTTGGGTGGTTTTGTCAGGATTTGGGGTTTTTGGGGGTGCCTGACTGTGATTTTGGGGGTTTTGGGTGTGTCTGACTGGGATTTTGGGGTTTTTGGGTGGTTTTGTCAGGATTTGGGGTTTTTGGGTGTGTGTGACCATGGTTTTGGGTTTTTGGGGGTGCCTGACCGTGGTTTTGGGTTTTTGGGGGTGTCTGACCGTTGTTTTGGGTTTTTGGGGGTGTCTGACCGTGGTTTTGGGTTTTTGGGGGTGTCTGACCGTGGTTTTGGGGTCCCCAGGCGTGGAGCTGGGCAAGCCCACCCATTTCACGGTGAGCACCAAGGGCGGCGGCCGGGCAGCCCTGGACGTGCAGGTGACGGGGCCGGGCAAGGGCGAGGCCGTGAGGGACCTGCAGGTGACCGACAACCATGACGGCACCCACACGGTGACCTACACCCCTGTGCAGCAGGTAAAACACCCCAAAAACACCCCAAAAACACACCCTGAAACCCCAAACCCACCCACACGGTGACCTACACACCTGGGCAGCAGGTAGGGCACCCCAAAACCCCCCAAAACTACACCATCACACCAGGGGTCCCCGGGTTTTGGGGAGGGGCTTTGAGGGGGTTTTGAGGGGTTCTGGGCAGATTTGAGGGGGATTTGGGGCCCTGGGGAGGGACCCAGTGAGTCTGGGGGGGTCCCGGAGCTTGGGGAGGGGTCCCTGAATTTGGGGAGGGGGCTGAAGGGGGTTTGGGGGATTCTGGGGGGTTTGGGGGGGTTTTGGGCACATGGGGAGGGTTTCAGGGGTTCCCTGTCCTCAGTTTTGGGATCCCCTCCCCAGTTCTGTGCCCCCTCCCCACTTTGGGATTCACCCCCAGTTCCAGGCAGATTTTGGGGTTCCCCATCCCTGTCCTGCAGCCCCCTCCCCAATTTGGGACTCCCTCCCCGGGTGAATTTGGGGTTCCAGATTGGGGTTCCCTGTCCCTAACTGGCCACCCCCTCCCCAATTCGGGGTTCCCTCCCCGGGTGAATTTGGGGTTCCAGCTTTGGGCTTCCCTGTCCCTCAGCCCCCTCCCCAATTTGGGACTCCCTCCCCGGGTGAATTCGGGCTTCCCTGACGCGCCGCCCCCTCCCCAATTCGGGGTTCCCTCCCCGGGTGAATTCGGGGTTCCCTGTCCCGCAGCCCCCTCCCCAATTCGGGGTTCCCTCCCCGGGTGAATTCGGGCTTCCCTGACGCGCCGCCCCCTCCCCACTCGGCAGAGCTGGAGGTGGGCAAGGCGCAGGAGTTCACGGTGAAGGCCAAGGGCGCGGGGGGCCAGGGCAAGGTGGGCGCCCGCATCCTGGGCCCGGCGCGCAAGGCGGTGCCGTGCACGGTGGAGCCCGGCGCCGCGGCCGAGAGCAGCGCCGTGCGCTTCGTGCCGCGCGACGAGGGCCCCCACAGCGTGGAGGTCACCTACGACGGCGTGCCCGTGCCCGGCAGCCCCTTCCCCGTCGAGGTGGTGCCGGCCACCGACCCCTCCAAGGTGAGGGGAGGGGGCCTGGGGGGTTTGTGCTGGAGGATTTGGGGTGGAGGTCTTGGGACCCAACTCAACTCAACCCGGTCCAAGTCAACTCAATCCAAGTCAACTCAACCCAACTCAACTCAACCCAGTTCAACTCAACCAATCCAACCCAGCTCAACCCAACCAACCCAACCCATCCCAACTCAGCCCAACTAATCCAACTCAACCCAACTAATCCAACTCAACCCAACCAAATTCAATTCAACTCAACACAACCCATCCCAACTCAACCAACTCAACCCAATTCAACTCAACCAATCCAACTCAACCTAACCAACCCAGTCCATCCCAACTCAACCCAACTGATCCAACTCAACCCAACCCAATTCAACTCAACTCAACCCAATCCAACCCAGCTCAACTTATTTCAACTCAACCAACCCAACCCAATTCAACTCAACCCAACTCAATTCAACTCAACCAATCCAACTCAATCCAGCCAACCCAACCCATCCCATCCAAACTCAACCCAACTAATCCAATTCAGCCCAACTCAATTCAACCCAACCCAACCCATTTCAACTCAACCAATCCAACCCAATTCAACTCAACCCAGTTCAACCCAACCCAACTCATCGGAGGTCTTGGGACCCAACTCAACTCAACCCGGTCCAAGTCAACTCAACCCAACTCAACCCAGCTCAACTCAACCCAATTCAACTCAACCAATCCAACTCAACCCAACCAACCCAGTCCATCTCAACTCAACCCAACCCAATTCAACTCAACCAATCCAACTCAACCTAACCAACCCAGTCCATCCCAACTCAACCCAACTGATCCAACTCAACCCAACCCAATTCAACTCAACTCAACCCAACCAATCCAACCCAACTCAACTCATTTCAACTCAACCAACCCAACCCAATTCAACTCAACCCAACTCAATTCAACTCAACCAATCCAACTCAACCTAACCAACCCAGTCCATCCCAACTCAACCCAACTGATCCAACTCAACCCAACCCAATTCAACTCAACTCAACCCAATCCAACCCAGCTCAACTTATTTCAACTCAACCAACCCAACCCAATTCAACTCAACCCAACTCAATTCAACTCAACCAATCCAACTCAATCCAGCCAACCCAACCCATCCCATCCAAACTCAACCCAACTAATCCAATTCAGCCCAACTCAATTCAACTCAACTCAACCAATCCAACCCAACCCAACTAATTTCAACTCAACCAATCCAACCCAATTCAACTCAACCCAGTTCAACCCAACCCAACTCATCCCAACTCAACCCAACTAATCCAACTCAGCCCATCCCAACTAATCCAACCCAACCCTTCCATCTCCCCAGGTCCGTGCCTTCGGCCCCGGTCTCCAGGGGGGCCTGGCAGGGGTTCCGGCCCCGTTCACCATCGACACCAAAGGCGCCGGCACGGGCGGTTTGGGGCTGACCGTGGAGGGGCCCTGCGAGGCCAAAATCGAGTGCCAGGACAACGGCGACGGCACCTGCTCGGTGTCCTACCTGCCCACGGAGCCCGGCGACTACAACATCAACATCCTCTTCGCCGGCGCCCACATCCCGGGCTCGCCCTTCCGCGCGCCGATCCGGCCGAAGTTCGACCCTTCCAAGGTCACCTGCGAAGGGCCGGGGCTGGAGAAGGCCACGGCCGGCCAGCCAGCGCGCTTCCGCGTGGACTGCAGCCGGGCGGGGACGGCCGAGCTGACCATCGGCATCGCCTCGGAAGCCGGGGCGCAGGCGGACGTGAGGGTGGAGGAGAACGGCAACGGCATTTACACCATCGCCTACACGCCGCGCAGCGCCGGCGTGCACACCGTCACCGTGGAGTACGGCGGGCAGCCCGTGCCGCACTTCCCCAGCACCGTGCGCGTGGAGCCAGCGCCGGCGGCTGTGGATACGTCCGGCATCAAGGTGTACGGGCCTGGCGTGGAAGGGAAAGGTGAGTTTGGGGTGGGGTGGAAGGGTTGGGTTGGGTTTGGTTGGGATGGGTTGAGTTGAGCTGGGTTTGGATTTGGGATGAGTTGGGTTAGTTTGGGTTGAGTTGGAAGAGGATGGGATGGGTTGGTTTGAGTTGGATTGGCTGGGATGAATTCAGTTGAGTTTGGTTGAGTTGGGTTGGGTTGAGTTGAGTTGGGTTGGGATGAGTTGGGTTGGATTGGGTTGAGTTGGAAGAGGATGGGATGGGTTGAGTTGGGTTGGCTGGGATAAATTGAGTTGGGTTGAGTTGAACTGGGTTCGGTTGAGTTTGGTGGGGTTGGGATGATTTGGGTGGAGTTGAGTTGAGTTGGGTTGGGTTGAGTTGAATTTGGATGGATTGAGTTGAGTTGGGATGGGTTGAGTTGAGTTGGGTTTCTTGGCATGAATTGAGTTGGGTTGACTTGAGTTGGGTTCAGTTGAGTTTGGTTGGGTTGGGATGAGTTGGGTTGGGTTCATTTGGGTTGGAAGAAGACCCCATTGACCCCAGCCCCGTTTCCCCATCCCAGCCGTGTTCCGCGAGGCCGTGACGGAGTTCGAGGTGGACGCCCGGGCCGTGTCCAAGGCCGGCGGTCCCCATGTCAAGGCCCTCGTGTCCAACCCCTCCGGAAACGTCACCGAGACCTTCGTGGAGGACCGGGGTGACGGCACCTACCACGTGGAGTACACGCCCTACGAGGAGGGTGAGCGCACCCGGCATTCCGGAGGGATTTTGAGAGATTTTGGGAATATTTTGAAGGATTTGGGGGGGATTTTGTGGGGATTTAGGGTGATTTTGGGCTGATTTTGGAGACTTGGGGGGATTCTGAGGGTTTTGGGATATTCTGAGGGATTTTAAGGTTTTTTGGGGGGTTATGAGGGTTTTGGGGGAATTTCCAGAGGATTTGGAAGGATTTTTATGGATTTGGGAGAATTTTGTAGCTTTTTGGGGGGGGGGTTGGAGCATTTTGGGGGCTTTGGGGGAATTTTAAGGGATTTTCAGAGACTTGGGGGGACATTTATGGGTTTGTGGACTTTTGAGGGATTTTGCAGGAATTTTGGGCAACTTGAGGGATTTTGGGGGGTTTTTGGTGTGGTTTGAAGGGTTCTAAGGGATTTTTGGTGGGCTTTGGGTGGGGTTGGTGGGATTTGGGGTGACCCGCTGCCCCCCAGGCCTGCACAAGGTGGACGTGACCTACGGGGGGGCCCCGGTGCCGCTGAGCCCGTTCCGTGTCCCCGTCACCGAGGGCTGTGACCCCACCCGGGTGCGGGTGCACGGCCCCGGCATCCAGAGCGGCACCACCAACCAGCCCAACAAGTTCACCGTGGAGACCCGGTGAGAGCCCGGCTCCCAGCGGGAATGCCCAGAATCCCAGCGGGAATGCCCAAAATCCCAACGGGAATGCCCAAAATCCCAGCGGGAATGCCCAAAATCCTAACGGGAATGCCCAAAATCCCAGCGGGAATGCCCAAAATCCCAATGGGAATTCCCAAAATCCTGATGGGAATGCCCAAAATCCCAACAGAAATCCCCAAAATCCTAACTGGAATCTCCAAATTCCCACTGGGAATCCCTAGAATCCCAATAGGAAACCCCAAAATCCTGATGGGAATCACCAAAATCCTGACTGGAATCACCAAAATCCTGACTGGAATCCCCAAAATCCTGACTGGAATCCCCAAAATCCAATGGGAATTCCCAAAATCCTGATGGGAATGCCCAAAATCCCAACAGAAATCCCCAAAATCCTAACTGGAATCTCCAAATTCCCACTGGGAATCCCTAGAATCCCAATAGGAAACCCCAAAATCCTGATGGGAATCACCAAAATCCTGACTGGAATCCCCAAAATCCCAATGGGAAACCCCCAAATCCTGACAGGAATGCTCAAAATCCCAATGGGAATCACCAAAATCCTGCTGGGAATGCCCAAAATCCCAATGGGAATCCCCAAAATCCCAATGGGAATCCCCAGAATCCCAATGGGAATTCCCAAAATCCGGATGGGAATCCCCAAAATCCTTATGGGAATTCCCAGAATCCTAATGGGAATTCCCCAAAATCCCACTGGGGAATCTCCAGAATCCCAATGGGAATTCCCAAAGTCCTGCTGGGAGACCCCCAAATCCTGCTGGGAATTCCCCAAATCAGAATCTCCATCTCCTGCTCCACCTAAACCCCCGTTATTCCCCAAACCTGGCCGCCATGACCCCAAATCCCATTTTCCTCCCTCCAACAACCCCAAATCCCATTTCCCCCCCATCCCATGACCCCAAATCCCATTTCCCCCCTCCCATGGCCCCAAATCTCCCCATCACAGATTTATTTGGAATTTTGTTGGATTGTTTTATGGAATGAATTCTTTATGGGAGATTTTTTGGGGAGGGATTTGGAGGGAATTTCTTTTGGGAATTGTTCAGGAAATTTTTTGGGTGTTTTTCAGGCGATTTTCAAATATTTTAATTTTGGGAGGTTTTAGGGGGATTTTGTGAGGGGTTATGGGAGATTTTGTGGGATTTCCCCTGGTGACCCCTAAATTCCATTTTTCCCCCTGGTAACCCCAAACCCATCCCACATCCCCTAAATCCCATTTTCCCCCCAAACCCCACCCCACACCCCCTAAATCCCTGTTTTTTTCTCCTGGTGACCCCTAAATCCCATTTTTTCCCCCCAGGGAGCCCGTTCCAGGTGCCGGTGTCGGACGTGGTGGACGCGTCCCGAGTGTCCTGCGGGGGTCCCGGCCTGACCCCCGGCCACGTCCGGGCCAACGTCCCCCAGACCTTCACCGTGGACACCTCCAAGGCCGGCGTGGCCCCGCTGGACATCAAAGTCCAGGGCCCCAAAGGTCAGAGGGGGATATTTGGGGGGTATTGGAGGGGGTTTTGTGGGATTTTATGGGATTTTAGAGGGGGATTTGTGGGATTTTATGGGATATTGGGGCACTCTGTGGGAATTTGGGGCTGCCCTGTGTGCTTTTGGGGCTGCCCTGTGTGCTTTTGGGGCTGCCCTATAGGATTTTGGGGCTGCCCTATAGGATTTTGGGGCTGTCCTATAGGATTTTTGGACTGCCCTATGGGTTTTTGGGGCTGCCCTGTGTGCTTTTGGGGCTGCCCTGTGTGGTTTTGGGGCTGCCCTGTGTGGTTTTGGGATGCCCTGTAGACTTTTGGGGCACCCTGTGGGATTTTGGGACACCCTGTGTGCTTTTGGGGCACCCTCTGGGCTTTTGGGGCACCCTGTGATATTTGGGGCCACCCCATCCCCCTTTATAATAATTCCTGCCCTACCCTGCAGTGACTTTCACATTACTCTACAATCTTTTCAACCCATCCCACAACACCCCAACCTCCCTGAACCCACATAAACCCCCCAAAACCCCATAAAAACCCCAAAAAAACCCCATAAAAAACCCCAAAAACCCCATTTCAGGCGTGCTGGAGCCCGTGGACGTGGCCGACAACGGCGACGGCACGCAGCGCGTGTCCTACGTGCCGGCACCCTCTGGGCTTTTGGGGCACCCTGTGATATTTGGGGCCACCCCATCCCCCTTTATAATAATTCCTGCCCTACCCTGCAGTGACTTTCACATTACTGTACAATCCTTTCAACCCATCCCACAACACCCCAACCTCCCTGAACCCCCATAAACCCCCCCAAACCCCATAAAAACCCCCAAAAACCCCATAAAAACCCCAAAAAAACCCCATAAAAAACCCCAAAAACCCCATTTCAGGCGTGCTGGAGCCCGTGGACGTGGCCGACAACGGCGACGGCACGCAGCGCGTGTCCTACGTGCCGTCCCGCGAGGGACCCTACAGCATCTCCGTGCGCTACGGCGACCAGGAAGTGCCGCGCAGGTGCGCCCGGGGGGACATTTCGGGCGGCTCCCCGCGAGTTCTGGGCTGTCCTGACCCTAAAATTCCTCCCCAAAGCCCCTTCAAGGTGAAGGCGCTGCCCACGCACGACGCCAGCAAGGTGCGGGCGAGCGGCCCCGGGCTCAACACCACGGGAGTGCCGGCCAGCCTGCCCGTGGAGTTCACCATCGACGCCAAGGACGCCGGCGAGGGGCTGCTGGCCGTGCAGATCACGGTGCCCGCGGGCTTTGGGGGTCTTCAGGGGGTTCGGGGGTGGATTTTGGGGGGTTTTTGGGGGGTTTGGGGGAGGTGGGGAGTGTTGGAGGGGGGTGGTTTGGGGATTTGTCTTGGTGGTGGAGATGAGAGTTTTTGTGCTCTGGTGGCCTCAAAGCCACCTCACAGTTCCTAATTTCCACGTTTTCCCCCCGAAACCCCGTTCTACATTCCCTAATTCCCACTTTTCTACCCCCAAACCCACACCACATCCCCTAAATCCAAGTTTTTTCCCCTCAGGATGCTGAGGGGAATCCCAAGAGAACATGACCCAACCTGGGAGCTCTGGGATCCTTTTTCCCAGCCCTAAAATCCAATCCCATACCCCAAAAACTGCCCAAATTCTCATTTTCCACCTCCCAACCACCAGAATTCCCATTCTCACCTCACCAATGGCCAAAATTCCCATTTTTTCCCCTCAGGAAAAGCTTTTTCCCCTCAGGATTCTGAAGGGAGTCCCAAGGGAGCATGACCCAGCTGAGAGCTCTGGGTTCCTTTTTCCCAGTTCCTTTTTCACACCCCAAAACTGCCCAAATTCCCATTCTCACTTCACTAATGGCCGAAATTCCCACTTTTTCCCCTCAGGAAAAGCTTTTCCCCCTCAGGATTCTGAGGGGAATCCCAGGAGAACATGTCCTCAACCCAGGAGCTCTGGGTTTCTTTTTCCCAGTTCCTTTTTCACACCCCCAAACTGCCCAAATTCCCATTCTCACCTCACTAATGGCCGAAATTCCCACTTTTTCCCTCAGGATCCGGAGGGGAAGCCCAAGAAGGCCTCGATCCGGGACAATCAGGACGGCACCTACACCGTGTCCTATGTGCCGGACATGACCGGCCGCTACACCATCCTCATCAAATACGGGGGGGACGAGATCCCCTATTCCCCCTACCGCATCCGGGCCGTGCCCACCGGCGACGCCAGCAAGTGCACGGTCACTGGTGAGCCCCGAAACGGGGGAAAACCCCCCAAAATTGGGAGGAAACACCTCAAAAATGGGAAAAAACACCCCAAAAACTACAGGGGAACCCCCCCCCCCCAAAATGGGGGATGCCACCTCAGGAATGGGAGAAACCACCGCGAAAACCCCCTCAGGAATGGGGGGGGCACAACCCTGCTGGGAAAGGGGCACTAACCCGAGTTAAATGATGGGGAACCCCCCAAAATTGATGGTAGAGCCCCAAACTCACTTAATGGCGTGGACTCTCCAAAATTAATGATGAGACATCTCCATGATCTCAATTAATGAAGGGACTCCCCAAAATTAATGATGGGGGACCCTCAAAAATTAATGATGGGACACCCCCATGATCCTAATTAATGAGAGACCCTCCCCAGTTTAATGATGTAGGACCCCCCCAAATTAAAGATGAGGGACCCCCACACTCAATTAACGATGGGAACCCCCAAAATTAATGATGGGACACCCCCATGATCCTAATTAATGAGAGACCCTCCCCAGTTTAATGATGTAGGACCCCCCCAAATTAAAGATGAGGGACCCCCACACTCAATTAACGATGGGAACCCCCAAAATTAATGATGGAGGACCCCCAAAATTAATGACGGGATCCCGTTTTGGGGCCACCAAAGGGGTCCCATCATGGTGACCCCAAATGAGTCTCGTTTTGGGGTTCCTGTCCCCCTTTTGGGGTTTCCAGTGGGTTCCTGTTCCAGATGTCCCCAAATGGGTCCCAGTTTGGGATCCTGGTCTCATTTTGGGATTTCTGGCCCCATTTTGGGGTTCCTGGCCCCATTTTGGGATTCCTGGCTCCATTTTGGGGTTTTTTGCCCTGTTTTGGAGTTCCTGGTCCAGTTTTGGAGTTCCTGTTCCGGATGTCCCCAAATGGGTCTCATTTTGGGTTTCTGGTCCCATTTTGGGATTTCTGGCCCTATTTTGGGGTCCCTGGCCCCGTTTTGGGGTTCCTGGCTCAGTTTTGGGATTCCTGGTCCCATTTTGGTGTTCCTGTCCCCATTTTGGAGTTCCTGGTCCAATTTTAAGTTTCCTGGTCCCATTTTGGTGTTCCTGGCCCCATTTTGAGGCTCCTGTCCCTATTTTGGGATTCCTGGCCCCATTTTGGGTTCCTGGTCCTGTTTTGGGGTTCCTGTTCCAGACGTCCCCAAATGAGTCCCAGTTTGAGATTCCTGGCCCCATTTTAGTGGTTTTGGCCCCATTTTGGGGTTTTTTTTGCCCTATTTTGGGGTTTTTTGCCCCATTTCGGGGTTTTTCGCCCCATTTTGGGGTTCCTGACCCCATTTTTGGGGTCTTTTGCCCCATTTTTGGGTTTTTTTGCCCCATTTTGGGGGTTTTTGCCCCATTTCGGGGTTTTTCGCCCCATTTTGGGGTTCCTGACCCCATTTTTGGGGTCTTTTGCCCCATTTTTGGGTTTTTTTGCCCCATTTTGGGTTTTTTTGCCCCATTTCGGGGTTCCTGACCCCCGGCTCCCGCAGGACCCGGCCTGGGCCCCACGATCCAGCTGGGCGAGCGGACGCTGGTCACGGTGGCCCCACAGGGTCCCGTTTTGGGGTTCCTGACCCCATTTTTGGGGTCTTTTGCCCCATTTTGGGTTTTTTTGCCCCATTTTGGGGTTCTTTGCCCCATTTTGGGTTTTTTTGCCCCATTTCGGGGTTCCTGACCCCCGGCTCCCTCAGGACCAGGGCTGGGCCCCACGATCCAGCTGGGCGAGCGGACGCTGATCACGGTGGCCCAGATGGGTCCTGGTTTGGGGTTCCTGACCCCATTTTGGGGTTCTTTGCCCCATTTCGGGGTTCCTGACCCCCGGCTCCCGCAGGACCCGGCCTGGGCCCCACGATCCAGCTGGGCGAGCAGACACTGATCACGGTGGCCCAGATGGGCCCCGTTTTGGGTTTCTTGGTCCCATTTTGGGGTTCCTGACCCCATTTTTGGGGTTTTTTGCCCCATTTTTGGGGTTTTTTGCCCCATTTCGGGGTTCCTGACCCCCGGCTCCCGCAGGACCCGGCCTGGGCCCCACGATCCAGCTGGGCGAGCAGACGCTGATCACGGTGGCCCCACAGGGTCCCGTTTTGGGGTTCCTGACCCCATTTTTGGGGTCTTTTGCCCCATTTTGGGTTTTTTTTCCCCATTTTGGGGTTCTTTGCCCCATTTTGGGTTTTTTTGCCCCATTTCGGGGTTCCTGACCCCCGGCTCCCGCAGGACCCGGCCTGGGCCCCACGATCCAGCTGGGCGAGCAGACGCTGATCACGGTGGACGCCAAGGCGGCCGGCAAGGGCAAGGTGACGTGCTCGGTGTGCACGCCCGACGGCTCCGAGGTGGACGTGGACGTGGTGGAGAACCCCGACGGCACCTTCGACATCTTCTACACCGCGCCCCAGCCCGGCAAATACGTCATCTGCGTCAGGTTCGGGGGGGAGCACATCCCCAACAGCCCCTTCCAGGTCATGGTGAGTGAGAAACGGGGGGAAACGGGGGAAAAATGGGGGAAAATGGGAAAAAA